ACATACCCTTCATAATCTTTACAATAAGACTTGTGAGTTTGTCTTTGTGGTTCCAAGCAACGTCTCTGGTGTAATAACTTTCCCTAATACCAGGATGACAATTTCAAGAATACTATACATATCTGAATCCTGGGTTGTATCTTGCTGCTGTATATAAAACATCTTGCTGTTGTATGCAAAACATATTCTTCCATCATGTATTCCTCATTATTGCTGAATGATCAAGGCAGGCATTAGCTACAGTAACAATTAAATGTTTGCCTCACAGAACCATGTCAGTTTACCTTCCAGTTTTAAGCAACTGGATGAATGGAAACTGATTCAGCGAGGAACCCGACAGTGTTTTCTGCAAGAAAACCCTTACTTTGCATTATCCCTGCTGGTGATGTAGGATACCAGGCAAGTCATGTTACACCATGAATGCAACTTGCCTTGTATTAGTTAGAATAAATGCCTACATCTCTATACCACACATATGAACACCCATTGCTAGAGCTTGTCTGCACACTCCTTAAACTGGAATTTAATTGCTTTGTGTTTTTTGTTTTTTGTTTTTTTTTAAGGTTCTGTGCACCAACATATGCCCAGCAATCCGTGTCACTGATATTAAGAATGAAATATTTTCCTTTTTCCAATGTCCCAAACGTGATCGGAAAAAGAGGGTTTTGTACAGAGTAAATGGAGGTATAGCTGTCTCTAACAGGGAAGGAAATCAGTTACTCTTTACTCAGAAGCATAACCTCGCTGGTGCAACTATTTAATGACTCCTTTTAGAATAGCTTTGAAGGTGCAAGATACAAACATAGATCTAATTGTTGCTGCAGTTCCCACTTACTACCTTGACCTGGCTCACGGGTAAACTAATATTTGAGAAGTATGCTGAAATACTGCATAATTAGAGTGACCAGATAGCAAGTGTAAAAAATTGGAATGGGGGTGGGGAGTAATAGGTGCCTATATAAGAAAAAGCCCCCAAAATAGGGACTGTCCCCATAAAATTGGGACATCTGGTCACCCTATGCATAATGTATAAATAATTGCATTCAAAAATTATGTTAAAGAACAGAGATTACAAAGTTGAACACTCAGATGATAGGAAATGCCAGAATTCAGGTTGCCCATTCCAACTTTAATTTGGACCCCTTGTATCATAATGCATATGCAGTCTTTAATTACACAAAAACATACTATTATTTTCCACAAGATCTCTGTCTTGTTTGGTGTGCAGGATGGATGGATAGTGCTCTGGGAATGAATCAGGGTTGTTGTGTAGTGAATGAGACTGCTGTCTGCAAGACTCCTGCGTCATTTGTTGCAGAAGTTGGAAGGTGTACGGTGAACATGTCAGGGGACTGCAGGAAGAGAAAGGATTGGCTCATGGTTAAGGCAGTTGGATACCATCCTGGGGAACTTGATTCTATCCCTGCCTCTGCCACAGAGTTTCTGTGTGATGCTGGGCAAATCACTTAAACTAAATATTCATAGTCACTGATTATGTGTTCCTCATGTTTCTGGTTGCCCAATTTGAGACATCTAGGGCCAGAATACCAACAGAACTGCTGAGTAATCGTAACTAAGTGAAGTTTATTAGAGTCATGGTTTAAACATATAAAAGTGCTATAAAAACACTAAGTACTCTGAAAAATCAGGCTCTAAGTGTCTTAAATTGGGCATCAGAAACTAGTGGACATGAGACAATTTTAGTCTTAATCCCTCTGTGCCTCAGTTCTCCATCTGTAAAAATGGGAATAATCATACCTATTTTAACTAGGATATTGTGAGGATAAATTCATTGTTTGTGAAGCACTCCGATGCTATAGAGCTCCACAAAAATGGCTTGGAAGGGTTTGAATGGTGTGTATTTAAATCAGGCCTGAGGCCACACATTGAAAGTGAAGGATAAAAAAAAAATTTGAATACATACCCATTCACTGAATAAGGCTCGGGTCCTATAGAAAAGTAGTGTGTGTTTATGAAACTAAAGACAGTATCATAAAACAAGGAGGTTGAATTACACGTAAATCTGACATTTATTAACGTTTGAGTGTTTGACTTTAAAATCTTAATGTTCTTTTTTTAATGTAATTTTTTAAAGTAGTTTTTTTTTTTTTAAACCCACACACCTCCAATTAGCAGCAGCAGAGCTGCAGAATCCTGGTACCATGCCACAGAATTTAGGTCCAGAATCCTACAGAGTGCCCCACGCCTCAACTGGTTTAGCGTGTGTGAGCATCTCTCGCTCAAGTGGCTGGCCCCAATGAGGACGACAGCCTGCTTTGTACTTACTGCTGAAGAAGTTACTAGGTTGGCTCTAGTGGTAAGTGTAATAGTATCACTGCAGTTGGTGCACACTGACCCCTGCCATGTTATAGGGGTACATACAACCTTTTGTAAACCTAACCCATGTCCTATGACTGAGGCCAAGAAATAAAGATTAGTCTCTTGCTGGCTTTCTTGTGTGGCACACCCTTATTACCTAAGGGACTGTACCTTTGATGTGGTGAAGGTCCCAAATTTTATTACTAAATCTGATTCAGGCCAGTCTGAAGCAATCTGATGTGGAGAAACATGCATGTGGGCTTCTGAAGGAATTTAGCCACCAGAGGGCTGTGTGGCCACAATTTTTTGGCAGGTTCTTGGCCCTTTACTGGTTCAAATGGTCAAGTCACTTGACTCAAGTGGGTGAATGGGTTTGTGTGCGTAAAGAGACTTGACTCTGAAATGAGTAATCAACTTTTCTTATGTCTCTGCTCTGTTGCTAGAAAACATATCAGATTGTGGTTTACTTCTGTTTCCTAAATTATTCAAAACCCCAGTTTGGTCATCAGCATCTTCTAATGTAAGCTATATAAAGGCGGTACCATTGTGTAGCGAATGCAAACCTGTCTTGCACCATAACAAATCCTAAAGTGTACTCCCTAAATAATGTGGATCCAAACTAATCTGGGTGAAGTGAGGGTAATGTAAATCTCAGTTCATATGCTTGCTTGTCTGTTATGCCCAATGAAGGGATTCTGTATACTACCCAAAATGAACCATTTCATGGAGGAGTGGGTAACTTGGGGCATGTATAGGCCCCTGTCTGCAGTGAATAGGTGTTTGATAGTAGCATGCGTAGATCTGATTCCCACACTGGAGATGGGCGGGGGTGTAGGAGGAGAGGGGAAGCAAAATCTGGTAGAAATTCTGCTGCCTTGATAATGCACAAGGATGTGCCACTGTAAGTGAGTTTGGTGTGGTCCCTCCAAAAGACAATAGATTCCTTAGCCAAAATCAAAAGGCAGCTAGCTACCTGTCTCACATGCTTGACCCTGACCCATCACCTCACCACCCCCAAACCTATTCACATACCCACTTGGCCTTAAACGTGTCCAATTACCAAAAGAGGAGGAAAATGGCAAATTTGACTTGACAGTAGCTAACAGTTTTTAAATTTTTATTTAACATAGTGGCTTGAAAATGTGGAGACGCCCTTCACTGGGTCAGCATTTTTTTTAACAGAGACATGCATTTTGTATAGTCCCAGTCGAAAGAACCCTGATGCTTTTACTATATATTTTGAAAGAAACAATCTTAATTTTTAAAGAGAAGTAAGGAGCCTTCATTTTGTTGTCTGGAATATGAGGGAGGGGAAGGGTAGATATTTAAGTAGATAACAGATGTGGTTACTACTACCCCTGAATAGACAAACGAACTTTATAGACTTTAGTCATCCTCTCCCTTTCCCAATTACTCATGCGGATTTACATATCTGCCAACATTTCAGATCCATAAATAAGGACACTAGAGGGAAAAGTTTTAAATCCTTTGATGTACATTGGGCTAATAGAAGACTTCAGAGGAAAAGGGGACATTCAGCATATAGGAACAGGCATAAAAACAGTCCCATTTCGTCTCTTGGGTTGGAGGAGCTGTAACTTTGGTCAACTGTGATAAATCAGTGCAACTTGCTGTGTTGTTCCCACATGTTAAATTATGTCCTGGCTGATGGCGATGATGAGTGTGTGTGGCTTGGAAAGGGTGTGGATTTTGTTGCATGTGCCTTAAAAATGTGTGCTCCAGCTGCAGTTGTGCGCCTGGGCGCTGAAGGCTTGAGCTCGTGTTTTTTCTGTCTCCCCAGGGCAGGGGTTAGCTCGGCTGGCTCCGTGTCACACACAGATGTGACTCTTGTCTTCCCCCTGCAAACGTACAACCGTCACCCCCCCCCCCCCCCCCCAAATTCAAAAAAAAAAAAAAAGTCTTCAGCTCCCACACCCAGCAGCGGCAGAGCCCCGGGAGCTGATGGAACAGGGGGGTGGGAAGCAGGAAATCGGGACCACGAGCAAAAACTTCAGCGCTGCCTAACTTTTCTCTTCCTTTTTAACGCGCTTCCCGGGACTTTCTCCCATTTTCCTTCGGGTTGCGTATTATTTTCCCTCCACCCCTTTCCCTTCCCTCTCGCTCTCCAGCGGCGGCTGGACGCCTTGAGCTGATAAGGAAGAGGAGAAGCAGCAGCAGGAGAGCTCGCCGCCGCTGCGAGGGGGAACCGGCCAGAGGGGAAAGAGAGAGCGAGAAAGAGCCAGACACACACACGGCGAGATCGGGGGGTTGGCTCGTAATAAAGCTCGCTGGGGCTGCTCGGCGTTTTTGACAGCTGGGCTCGAGCGGCCTCGGTGGGGCCCCCCCTCCCCGGGTTTGCACTCCCCCCCCCCCCAAGAGCAATGCAAAGCGGCTGAGGGTTAACGGGACGCAAGGAAGCAACGTTGTCCTTTCAGATCCACTTGCAAGCCCTCCCCCCGCCCCTCTTCCAGCCAAACAACCCAACAACAACAAACCAACCTGTGGAGGCTTCAGATCCAAACTTGGGTCCCTCCCCCGCAGCAGCTCTGTGTTGAAAGGTCTTTCTCGCTGCCGCTGCTGCTGAAGTTTGGGGGCTGAAGTTTTGAAGAGCTTGAGAGACGCGCTCTCTCTTTTTTGTTTTTAGTTCAAATCACCTGAAGGCTTGAGAGTGAGAAGGGGGGGGGGGCAGAGAGGAAAACCGAGAAGAGCAGAGAGCCCAGAGGCAGAAGGAAGGGGCTGGTGCAGGCACTGCTGCTGAGAGGAGATCAAGAGACAGGGGGTGCACTTGACAACCAGCATGCAGAGATGGTAAGAAGTTTCCAACAGCCTTTCGTTTTCATTCTAGCCTTTCCTTTTTATTTTGTTGTTAATAAATTGTGCAGTAACCAAAACAACAAACAGCTGGGGGCGGGGCGGGGGGAGAGAGAGAGAGAGAGAGACATGTGCTACGTTGAAATAATGATTTAAGTTCTCCCAAACTTTCAGTCAGTTTGGGATGGGATGGCCACAGGATTTTGCTGCCACTTTCTGCCTACCAAAGGTGAGGGGATAATGTTTTTTTTTTTTAAAGTGTGGGGTGAGATTGAATTAGACGTACTGTGGGGTGAGCTTTTTTGGAAGCCACCCTCTGCTTGGAAATGAGTAACGTTTGCACACAATGTAAAGGTAACCTTTGAAAGTGGGAGAAGAAGGGAGTGGGGGGCCGAGGGAAAGAGAGAGAGAAACAACGCCTGAGGCAGGGAGACAGAAGTGTAAATCCACCTTCCCTCAGTAACTCTTTCTTCTCTTTTGCTTGTGCATGTGCTTGCAGTTTACACCTTTCCCATCAGCAGTTGTGCCCAGAACTTGTAGGGAAATATTGATGTGCTCACTGGAAGAGGGAAAACAGCTTTCAGAGCATGTTTGCTGGCTCTCCTGTGAGCAGATAAAACGAGGCCAGTTCTTTTACACCAGGATTTTACGAAGCAGGCTTTTTGTTTTAATTAAAAACATTTACATTAAAAATAAAAACCGAGATGACTCAGGATCTCAATTTGCTTAAATCCTCTCTCCCTGGCTGTGATGTGAAGATACCTTTACTGCTTCAAGGAACAAGCACATTTTAGGAAGTAAATGTATATGAAGTCTGACAGTGATATTTCTTGGGTTAAAAGTATAGTTAGTTCAGCTAGGTTTCAGAGTAGCAGCCGTGTTAGTCTGTATCCGCAAAAAGAACAGGAGTACTTGTGGCACCTTAGAGACTAACAAATTTATTAGAGCATAAGCTTTCGTGGGCTACAACCCACTTCTTCGGATGCATATAGAGTGAAACATATATTGAGGAGATATATATACACACACGTACTAGTTCAGCTAGTGAGGAGCAGGGATCAGCCCATATTGAATAAAGTGGTGTGTTGCTTGACCACTCCCATGCTTTTAGTAAGCTTCCACAGTAAATTGCTATTGTTACCCCCACTTGGGGATTGGCTGTACTGTGGAGATGGGTCAGTATATATAAAAAGGGGGGTGGGGAGGAGAAGAATGAGACAGAGGGTTAATATTTTTTTCCATTCCTTCCTTAATGTGGCATGTCTTGTTTCAGTGATGAGAGCCACAATTTTTGGAGTGTAGGAGATGCCACTGTTAAATGCAGGCAACAACAACAACAAAACCCCACAGAACCCCAGGGTGGGGAGGGGGAAAAAGCAGTATGTGCCCACTGTGCAACACTGACAGAAATTAAAGTGGTTTTGAAAGCAGCATGCGATTTATTATTCCCATTTACCCTAGAGTCAAGCTGTTGTAAAATTGATGCACAAAAGACATGTAATAATCTGGTGTCCCTAGGATTAAAGTGGCAGAGTGTCTTTTTTGCTCCTGTTGTTCAACCAACAGTTAAAATATCTTTTAAGTAAGCAGTCAAAGCAAAATATTACATGTTTCTCTTTTAAACCCATGTGTCCTTCAGACATGGAAGCAAATTAAATATTCAGAGACAGGAGTGGGCTTTATTTTTCATTATAGCATATTCCATTTACCATCTATACTATTGCTCATCTCATAGTCAGGAATTACTTTTAAAATAGGGTAAGCATTTTTTGTTAGTGTAATTATTGAGTTCATTTCAGACAATAATATTTAATAAGCCTGATCAGCAGATGCTGCTTAAGAATACCAAGTCCCTGAAAAAGTATGTGGAACTTTCCTTTCCCTTAAAAATAGCAGGAAACTTCAATCGTATATTTAATGGGGCATAAGTGCTCTGTGTTACACTAGTTTCATTTTAAGCTGTCCAGCATTAATGAACCTTCTAGCTGTATGTATGTTCTGCTTTAAATTCCTAAAGAGCATGAGATTTAAAAATCAGATCACTAAATATTTAGCAAGTTATTTATTTAGTAATTACACGTGATTCAGATGCAGGATAATATGAATGTTAACTTATTTGTTATGAGAGACGTTAGAAACTGCTTTTAAGACCCCAAAATATGAACTGTTCTGTATGCACGATGCTTAAACACATAATAGAAGGGTTCTGTTTAAGTATATTAATTTTTTAAAAAAAGTTATGTTAAAATATTTTAGGTGGACAAATCTAGGAGATGTATGTGTTTGTTCACATGGTTTGAGGTTTTTATACTTGAAGTGTATGTGACAGATGGGGATATGCGATTACATATAACAGAAGCAGTAAAGGAACAGACAAAAGCAGAGCTGACTATTTCTGTATTAAAATGTAAGTGCTACAGTTTGACTTTTCAAGTGAGTTTTTGCGTTCAGTGCTTTACATAACATTTTGTCCTAATCTTGCTTGCTGTCAGGGATGTTTCATGGTTGTGCAATTGCTGCAGTCAAGAATGCCAATTTGCATTCCAGGAGTGTCATTTGATTACTTTTATCTGCACAGCTCCAAGACTGGCCCAGACCTCTCATTTCATCTTGCCATGTCACGAGTCAATGCTGTGTCGTCTTTTCAAAAATCTGCCTGATTTAGACAAGAAAGAAAAGTACTTTCATGTTGCAGCCGCACTCCCCTGCTAACTTGTCAGCAGCAGGATGTGATTCGCTTGGGCCCAGAAGAATGGTACAGAGATGAGGGTTAGGCGGTTCAATAAGCCCATGGACAGGTAGTGTGTGACATCCCAAGAGAGCTTAAGTTAATGAAGAACAGGTCTGCTTAGTTCTCCACACTCTGACCTCGTGCTGTCCCCACAGTTTTCTCATTTGATCTTTCCCAGCAAATTGATCTTTTCTTGTATTTTCTTGCCTTCCAAGTTAGTCCTTATGGGACTGAAATTAGCAGAGCAACTTAAGTTGGATAATACAGCTGTTCAGAAAAGAAGAAATTGGACACTAGCTCAGAAGGGGGAAGGGGAATCAAGCTATTCTTTTTGTTGTTGTTACTGAGAATTTTTTTTATTTTATTTTAAAGGACTTCAAAATAGGCAGTAGCTTGGAAGTTCACTTTTTTTTTCCTTTTTAATCTTGGATGGTCTTTTACACATTTGTTTTTTCTAAGTGTACATATCTGAGACAAATAACTTAGCAGTATATAGTACAGGTTTGTTTTAGTATTTGTCAGTTGAACTTGTTAGAAATGATTTGCTAGTCTATAATGAGGCTTTTACAGTTACAGTGAGACATGCTAAATATCAATTGCACATGCCAACTTCATTATTTATAGCCTGCTAAATAAGTATATTTCCATAGTATCCAATACTGAAATGCAGAAGAGATTAAACAATAAAAGCCATTACAAATGCTATGTGAAAATATAGTTTGCAAATTAGGACCAACATTAATAGTTTTCTGGAATACACGCTCATGGAAACACAGTTGTTTTTGAATTAAGGTACACTATGTTTAAAAACTGTGCTCTAAAATAGGGGGTATAGTATTTCTTTGTCTAAGTATCTTTGTTTTATTTTTTCACTGCATTTAATCGTTCAAAAGTAGGCGGCTATATATTTTAATACATACACTGTGACAAGTTAGTCGTCTAAGGTTTCAGGCTAGAATTTTGTGAATCAAGTGTAAGTTGGAAGTGATTAAGAGATTCTTTATTTTGCTGCATAATAATAAGTAATATTTAACTTTCTGGGTTTCATAGCAGATGTTCTCATTTATCATCCACATCTTTGCAAGATGTAGTATTGAAAACATTACTGAATAAAAACAAAAACACTTATGTAAGGGAAATGCTGCACTCTCTCTCTCTGTATTGCTTTTTAAAATGGAAAAGATCATTGGTTAGTTAAAACTCCTCTCTGCAGAGCTCCTGGAAGACTCTTGATTTTATTAGATATGCCTAAAGTTAAATAAAAAGAAAAAATACTCAGAAAAATTGAATGGCTATGAAAAGAAGTTAGTAATCGTCATAGATCTAGTGTTTAGGCTTTGGGGGTGACTTTATTATGTTTTAGGTGTGATGTACGTGCATATCAATAGGATTTGCAGTTGACTGCTATAACTCTCAACAATTGGTTTTAATTTTCAGAAAATTAAATTGAAGTCCAACTAAAATGCATTTGAGAGGTTGAATTTATAAAACAAACATACCTATTATTATTATTTTAATGAGGGGTCTTTGAAGAAGTCCCTTTCACACATTGGACACTGGCCTTCAAAAGTTAAATAATTTTTGTTAAGGAACATTTACATAATGAAAATCCTCTTTACTTTCTGCTATACACGTTTATATGGTACAGTTTGTGTTTGACTATAAAACTAGTCAAGTCAGTCACAGAAAAGACAAGTGTTATATGTAAAGATTCCTATATAATGTAGAGGGCACAATTAGGACAGAGGTTTCTCTTTAAAAAATGGATAGGCTATGAAGGAATAAGTAACAGTTACTACTTTATTTAAATAAATGGTACTTAACAATGTAATGAAATATTTGTTTAATCTCACATTTTGTGTCTATCTCTTTCCACCTAATTTGTGACATGTTTACATTTAAAAATCCCATTGATCATAATTGCTGCATAATAGTTCTATGCTAGCTTTTATGAGCATTACTTTGAACAAACTTATTTACCATTTAAGTAAATGGTATAATCCAGTGAGATAAACTGCCAGATTTGTCTCTTTATCTCTTGCACAGCACAGTAGCTCTCATTCTGTTGCTAGCTAGTAAAAGCTTTTATTTGTTGCTTATTAGAACCCTTAGTACAACTCAGGAGTTCAGCTGTAATTGAATTTGGTTGTTCAAAGACTCTCTCTTGTTTTAGAATGTTTTCATAGTACAGTTTTACCACATGTTATAAATATGTATGTTATACTATAATACATAGGCAGATAGCCTTGATTTACCTGCAAACGTA